CTTGTATTATAATGTTCTTTGTGAAGGATTATGGTGAACTATGTATTTGCAGAGAATTAATGGATACAATAATCAAGAAATTCTATAAAACTATGCACTCACTCGGAGATATTCTCTCTAGCAGTCTTGATTGTTTTCTGTGTCGTCTGATTCACAATGTAAGGACTACTTTTATTAATTTACTTACAATCACTCAGTCTGTCTTACATAGGTTCCTTCGGCACTTGAATTCCTGACACAGAAAAACTATCTTTATCGAGATGTCAAACCAGAAAATATACTCCGAGACATCCGTGGTGTCTTTAAACTGAGTGACTTTGGCATTTGTTGTGAAATAAATGAAACAGATTCGGTGCAGAGTGGTGTCATGGGTACTATCGCTTATTTTTCACCTGAACTTGTGCAGATACCATCCGAGCCGGGTATTAATCAAGAGGATATGTAGGTCTTAGGCATTAGTTTACTGGAAATTGTTATCGGCAAACATCCGTATCTTCCCTCAGAAGACTCTGATCAGTGCTGGAACCTTTTAGCATGGAATCCCGAAGTTCCCAAAAAAATCATTTCCCACGATATTCGAGGATTTATTTCATACTTGTGAGTACTTCTACATAAATTGTCATTTGATTTATAATAGTTTTGAAATTCTGCTAGATTGAATAAAGAAACTGAACAGCGGCCTCGTTCTTATACGGAGATTCTGAATATGTCTTTTATTAAAAATCTCCCTGAGGAACCAACAAATGAAGAATGTAGTTTTATTGATAATATAATTCAGATTAGTGAATTATTGCCAGTTAAAATTAATGGATCAGTGTTGTGATATCAATACAAGAAAGTTTTGATTGAACCGCACAGAGTATGAGTACATATGTATCCAAAAAATGAACGAATGCTACGATATTTTTTTAAAATTTACTTTCAATTAGTCATAAATGAGCAATGTTCACGATTTGTCAAATATGTGTGAATATGTCGTGCCGAAGTTATTTTTGATGATTTAATTAGATATCAATTATCAAGATATTAACATTATCATGTTAAAACATACAAGTAAAGTTGATTTTTCAATTGAACAGTATTTATAGCTTCATTTATTAATCAATATTTTGAAAAGCGTACAAATCCTTGCAAAAGAGCCTTTTAATTTGCTAGTGTTTTTCTGTTTTTCACCTAGATTTATGTATCTGGTTCCAGAAATCGTGGGTTTTCGATGGAAATTCTCTAGAAAACTCGGAGAAATTGTAGGAAGTTGTAAGTGGAAATTCGGCGATCAGTTTCAGTGGCTAGATTCTCTGAGTTCTGACAGGAAACGACTGTAACTGGACAAAGCTGGTTCTCGGATCCAGTCATTGGTTTTCTGCTTCCAATTTCCTACCGTGTTCCTGGACTTTGTGGCAGGAAATAGCTTGTATTTCCTGGCCTGCGAATTCAAATATGTAAAAGTAGCATTGGAGGTGGAAGTGCGAATGTGCACATAGAAGCGGATGCAGATGTGGTATCAGATGCCAGAGGAGGATTAGTTCTTGTTTTCAGAAGTGAAATGAGCTCTCTTTTAAAATCTTTGAATTGAACCGAGTCAAAACTAGCAGACAGGTGACTTGTGTATTTTGAGATTGGATTTAGATGAGATCGATTTCCGATGTTTTTTGGAACCGAAGCGAACCGAGCCTAGCCGAGCTGCTTTTAAAAAATTCTAACCAAATCAATGCGGTTTAGTTTCAGTTGGAAATCGAATTGGTGCCATTTCCAATGGATAGGACCGTCAATATCGGCGTCCTGCAAGATCATTTCTTCTCCATCACTCATAAACATATCGACACTCACACTTTTAAACAAAAAATTTAAAGAGCATATGACCGATATTCACAGGCACAGTTGCTCGCAAGTATGAGTGTGAGCGTAGCTATCTGTGTAAATGAAAAGAACTTCTACACTCAAACTAACTCAGATCCATACTCACACTCGTAGGGCAACTGTTCCGCTCCCAACAAAAAAATATCACTGAGACAAAAGGATTTTTGCAAAGATTTTATACGCTTTTCAAAATATTTATTAATAAATGTAGCTATAAATACTGTTCAATTGAAAAATCAACTTTACTTATATGTTTTAACATGATAATGTTAATATCTTGATAATTGATATCTAATTAAATCATCCAAAATAACTACGACAATTTTCTTTGTCCAAGTTATAACTTCGGCAAACAGTGCAACTTCGGCACGACAAATACATCATATATGATCTTTTTCCAACTAATTATGATATATGACCCGTTGATTTTTTTTTGCTGTTCTCTTGCTCAATAGATATGTACACAAGTATCTTTTCTTCTGCGAATTCTCATGTTCTCTTGCTCACATTATCTTCTTCTCTTACATTCACGAAAATTATTTGTATGGAATAAAACCGTACTCACATATAGAAAAACTAAGAAGGCTTACATAGACCTGTGCTTTCAATATTTTCAACATTTTTTCGCATTAGTCTAAGTTTACTGAATTTAATGATTACGACTAGGTGTCTATCAGCAAGTGTGCACGCTAGAAAATGTATAAGTAATGAAAAAGAGAACGAATTCGTTTTCAAAGATTTGCCTTCATTCAACAATACACTAGTCAGCAATCGTCGGTCTGATCAACATTGATTGATTTTATTCCAATATGTATTATCTTCACCACTCACACTCAACAAGAGGAGACAAACGAAAAATATTTAGACTGATAGTATACACAAAATAGAAACAGCAAAAACCTTTTAAGAACAATCACCATCTTCCTTCATACGAATGGGAAGCGTAAATGACGACTACTAACGGTCAAGTGTGCTACTGGTTTCCGTGTACATGCTACAAGGAAATCGAAGAAAACTCAGGGCGTAGATGTTGGGCCGAGAAAGAATCCTCGTATTCCACACCGACATCCAAAGATGAGCCGAGATGTTTGTTATCTTTAAAGGGATTAGATAAGTATGATAAAAAGGAAACAAATTCCCTTTACTCGACTATCATGAAAATTTAACTCATTGCCTTACAATCTTTGAACTGCACCTGTAGTTTTTTCTTATTTAATTGAATGACAGGTCAAGTTATCGTAAATTGTCTGATTAATGATCCGAATCAACGACGTCAATTTTTAATTCAATGAATATTATTCAAGTTTTTTTTTTATTGATCACAGCCATTAGAAAACTGAACTAAACGAAAGACCGTGACGCAAGTCTATTTTAATCATGTTTATCGTCAAATATTTCCTCAATATAAATACTAAAACAATACAATCAAAAAAAATATTTTGAAAATCTTCATTTAATTATCCCGTTAAAAGCATAAGTTGATATCGATATTGGTGAAATGTTTCACCTTAACAAGTACTAAATTAGAGAGAAAATCTGTAATTAAATTACAATTTCAGTATGAGTGCGAGCGTGGTTTTGAATACAGAAGATACCACCCACACCCATACCCCACATTCGGATAGTTGGATATGTTTCCTCGTTAGAAATTAACACTAAGAAAATATATCGTTGATAAGAAAAATATTCAGAATCATAAATATCAGAAAAAAGGAATGCAATAAATATGATGATATGTATGAGAAAAAGTTCTCATCAAATCTGAAAAAAAATATTGAATAGACCAGATTATGATTAAATGCTTCAATAAATTTTTCATAAATCATTCATGTAAGACTTATATCAGCACAGGATCCTTGGACATATCACGATCGATTGGTTGAATGAAAAAAAATTATGTATTACATAATTTCCAGATAAATACCATATTAGAAGTAGAATATAAATCTTATATTAAGTATTATAAAGAAATAGAATAATTTAAATTAACAGGAAATTGATACCTCTAATCAGTAGATAAATTTTAATCTTTCAGAAAATGACCTTGTAACTAGTAAAGCATAGAGAACAACGAAAGGCAAACGAAGTGTTTTTACATTTGTTTTCAACGAATCATTTATTATCACACATGCACAAGAAAAACAAAAATTTTGCAATCAAACGTTGTTATTTGTTGTTTTTTTCTTTTCTTACAAAAACAGTCTCGTGTCACGAAAAACAACACTATTGGATATTTTTCTTCGTATGTTGAAATGTTTCAAAGAGGTCTACACCGGGAATAAGTCAAGCATTATCATGGACTAAATATATAATTTATAGTTAAATTTATTCATTTTATTATTAGTTTAAACAAAACGTATAACTTTTCTATCTATGAAGAATTTACTAATTAAAAGACTACACAAAATAAGAAATAGTCATATAAACACTCGCTTATGATTCATATGCATAGTAAATAGAGCTATTTTAATAATGTATTGATTTTTAGTTTTTATCATTTTTTTCAGAAAATGAACTGTTCTAATACAAATAGAAAAACATTAGTAAAACAACGCAGTGCTTCCGTAACTATCACTAGAGAAGAAAAACATTCACATTCACCACCGTTAACAAAAAGCAATCGAATAAATACTTCTTCTCACCCAACAGCATCTTCTTTACTTCTTTGTCCAAGAAAAAATGACTCTATTTATGCAAAGACAACAACGATACGACCCATAATTACTCTATCACAAAGAAATACTACTGAAATACTTGTCAGTATGTAGATTCCATAATTTTACTTTATGAATATAATAAACAAAAAAAAATGTTTCAGATGTTCGTAAACGAAATTCGTCTTCTACTGTACCGAGAGCTACGGTTCTACTAAAGACAAAAGTAAAACAATTACCAACGTCAATGGAAAGGAATGAACCTAAGAAACTGATACTACCAAATATAAACCATACAAATCAATCAACACCATATACTCCAGGTTTATGTGGTTTGATTAATATTGGTAATACATGTTATATCAATAGTGTCCTTCAATGTTTGAGTAATGTACCAGAACTAACCCAATGGGCTCTAGATCAAAAAGAGTATTCATCAATTGAAAACAAAGATATTATTCATATATATATACTTCTTTAATATAATAAATGTGGTCTGGTAAACATGCTACAATTAATCCTCAAGGTATCAAAGAAATAGTTAGTCGTTTTGCTCCAATATTTGTTGATTATGCACAAAAAGATTCATATGAATTTATGAATTCTCTTTTAAATGCTCTTGAAAGAACAAATTCAACATCATTTATTACGAATTTTTTTCATATTTATATAAAATCACAAGTTACATGTACGGCATGTAATTTCATTGATATTACAGATGAAACAACAACATTTCTTTCACTTCGATTACCTCGAATAGCTTTACATAATAAAGAAACTTCATTGGAAAATTTAATTAATGATTTTTGTTTAGAAGATAATTTGGATGGATTATATTATTGTCATTTATAATAAACAATATACTCAAGCAAAACAAAAAACAAATATATGCTTACCATTACCTTGTGTTCTTATTATACAATTAAAACAATTTTCATTTGATGATACTTTTCAAAAAATAGATACATTTGTTCATTATAAATTTCAACATAAGAATTTAATATCAAATAATGATATATATCAATTATGTGCTGTATGTTCTCATGTTGGATGCTTAGCTAGTGGGCATTATACAACTTTAGCAATGAATAAATTGATGAAACAATGGTATGAATTTAATGATGATAATATAGATAAAATCAATTCACATGTTGTTGTTACGAGTAATGCTTATGTACTTGTATATTTAAAATCAGAAGAATTGGATAGTTCTATATATTGATGTTAAATAGATAGAAAAAAGAAACTTACGTATTTTTCTTTTCAGATATATATGACTACAATGTAGAAAATAACTATTTTCGATGGTATAATTTAAATATAATCAATAAGGTAAAATAAATAATATTATTAAACTTTGATCATTTTTGTAATCATTCTTCATTTTAATTGATGATCAAAAGTTTGATCTTCAATGTCTTCTTCCTTTATGAGATGACATCTACATATTTTGTATTATAATCAAACAACTCGAAGGTTACAAATATCTAACACATTTATTGATCATAGTTTAAGAAAAGAAAGAGTTCTATCAAGCAAAAAAGAATATTCTGAAACTTTTCAGATATATTTATTGATTTCTTTAATATTTAATCATACTTCGTCTATATGGATCGTCGTTATTTTACCCATGTCAATCTACAATCAGGTAATAATTATTCATTAAATGATAAGGATAACCTTCGTCCATCAACAGCATATCTTCCATCTCAATCAAATCTTCTTACATTAAAAGTATGCAAAACGAAATCCAATACAAAGAATTATATGTTAATATATATATGGTCATCTGATACTATAAAAATGTTGAAAAAGAAAGTAGCGGAAGGGTTAGAAATTTACTTGCCACTAGAAGAACTCTATTTGGTAGTATTTAGCAAAGATGATCATGAGTGGTACACGATTGATGATTCAAATTCTTTCACTACTATCAATCAACTAAAATTAAGTTCTAGCTGTATATTAACTGTCGAACATATTGCTCAACACACACTAAAAAACCGACGTCCTCTTTATTCTACTTCAATTTCCAAGGATAGTGGTGAGTTATGGTTAAGACTTTGTAAAAAACCAATGGATAGAACAGATTATATATATTTAACCGTTAATTCTTTGTCCACTCTTGGAAAATTACGAAAACGAGCCTATGAAGAATTCAATAAGTTAGCGAAGAATCAACCTATCTATCGATGGAATCAAGATTCCTGGATGCTATTTGAATCTGAACTGGATGAGAAGACTTTAGATGATCTACGTTTTGAATCGTATGCATTTATAAGTATAGATTATGATGATAAAGAAATCAGTTCAAAACTGCAATTTGGTTTATGTGGGCTTGTTAATTTAGGCAGCACATGTTTTATGAATAGTGCTTTTCAATGTTTAAATAACATACCTAAGTTTATAGAAAAAATTTTGGAATTAAACGATGAAGTAAATGCGCCAATTATAAGTGAATATAAAAACCTAGTTAAAAAAATGTGGTCAGGAAAGTATAACGTTATCAATCCATCGTTACTTCTTAATAATATTCAAGATAATTTACCAAATTATGCCAGTTATCGACAACAAGATGCACAAGAATTTATGAATCATTTTTTAAATCTTATTCATGCTGAATTGTCAATGAAAACAACACTCATTACCGAGTTATTCTATGGTCAACTTCAATCAAATGTTAAATGTCTTGGATGTCAACAAACTGAGATAACTAAGGAGCCTTTTACTTTTTTACCGTTACCTATTATGAATCATAATCAAAAGTCTGTGCTTTACATTAAAGCGGATGGTGAACAACGTCGAGTCTCTATAGAAGTTAATTCATCTGTCATTTCAGTCAATGACTTGATTGATTGCTTTATCAAACAACATGAACCATCATTAACTAGTGAACGAATTCGAGCTATTCAATTAGTCAATAATACGGTTAAATATTTATATGAGACCTGGGAATCTCTTCACAACATACGTGAAGAAGAACTGACTTTTGTAGAGCGTCCAGAGAAAACCATTCATCAAAAATATATTTGGTGTGCCTTTGTTGATCATTCCACTGATAAAGTATTTCGTCCACCGACTCTCATAATTTGTCCGAATCAGAACTGTAGTTCTCTACATCTGTTAGATCAAATCGATCAGCTTCTTGGTTATCTTTGTTCTACTACTAATGCACCAGCTTCTGCTTTTCATCTATACTGGGAAAATCAAAAGGGAAAACGATATAAGTTGAATTTAGAAGTAGATACAGATGAGGATTTGCAATACATAACCAATATACAAATCACATTGGCTACTAAATGGGTTGATATCTATAAAAAACACTACAATATCAATCATTCAGCTGATAATTCAATGTTAGTTAGTTTATTAGCGGATTTTTTTCGTGAAGATTATCTTGATGGTGATTATCACTGTTTGAAATGTTCAAAATCTACGATAGCTCAACATAAATCATATTTATGCTTACCATTACCACACGTGCTCATTATACAATTAAAAAGATTCACATATGGTATCAATTCAAATAAAAAAATTGATACATTTATTTCATTTCCTCTTTATGAACTTGATCTCAATGAGTATACAGTAAACGATAATAATAATCAACTTAAAAATAATTCATCGACAAAATATGATCTAATTGCTGTTTCCAATCATACAGGTAGTCTTCTCTCTGGACATTATACAACATATGCCAAAAATATTAAAGATGAAAGTTGGTATTTATTCGATGATCGATATGTTACAGAACTCGATAGTGATAAAGATATCGTTACTAAAAATGCATATATACTTGTTTATGTACAAAAAACTTCATAATCAAATACAATATATGAAAATGACAGAATGTATACTTTCGAATTTTTAAATGTTGAAATAAACGTATGTAGAATAAAGTTTTTAGAAAAAAAAATGTCGCAAAGAAGAAATGAATTTAATGGCTAATAGAAATATCTCATTGTTATTTTATATAGGATTTATTATTCATCATAATCATGAATATTTTGTTCTATTGTTTAGCATTGTTAAAGCAAAATTCATTTGTGATATTTGAATATATTTTTGTATTATTATTGATATCTTCGAATAATAATGTACTTTGTATATTGATCCGATAAAAAAAGGGTACGGATTAATGTTGTTCATAGAGAATTCTATTCAACAAATTTTTTATTGGATGTTCTTCATACAGATCAACAATTCTTTGTAAAAAATGCTATCTGCTCTCGGATACAAATACTTCATGCAACAATTTCGATAGAATGTATTAATATGAACTGATTTTATATTGGTCTGTTGATTAAGGATATCATCTTTTCGAAATTTTCTTTATATATCTAATAGATCTTGTTTTGATATTTAGAATGTATGAAGACTCACAGAATTAATCAAGCTACTTTTTTACCAAGACGATATTCCTCCTTTGATGAGTACTAGTGAATAATAGAAAAATCTAGAATGATTTGATAGTCCAGGTCTTCCTCAGATCAGATGGAATATCGACTTTCGAGTTTCGACTTCAAGCTTAACACGAACAAAGTTCTCAATGAGATTAGTTGATTGTACAACTATTTCTTTTCTGAAGACGTAAGTTAAATATATGAAAAAAATCTGTTTTTACACATAAGAGAATTTCGAATATTCAAAATCTTAGGTTAGGTGATACTAGAAAAGTTATAATTTACCCAATGGACTAATTTCATTGAGAAATTTATTCATTGAAAGCTTGAAGTCGAAACACGAAGGTCGATTTTCCACGTGACCGAAGGGGACCACAACTTTTTGTTGAAAAATTCAGTAAAATTTCGATAGTTCAAGAACGAAGTTTCGTCAGTAATTTTAATGAGAGGCCAAACTTTGGTTACTTACAATGCAAATAGACATGACCAATTCTGAATAATATGCTAAAGTTGTTAATCCTTTTTTTTTTGCAATAATTTGAATAGAAGTGAATGATTATCAAAGTTATACTCTAGGCCAGTTGGAAAAAAAAGCGACATGACAACAATAAAAATAAATCTTTATCGCAGCAGGAACGAAATATTCGAATCGGATTAGATATTTAGTTTAGTCAAATTAATCTGAATTTTCTTCAGTACATTATTTAAAAATGACCCTTGCTCATTAAGGTAAATATTTAACTATTTGAATACATATATGCATTTAATATGTTGTTAATTAATCGATAAAATGTGCGATGATACTAAAATTTATCGATGAATCTCTTGTCCATCCATTTTTGTTCATTATTAGACTATGAACTCTTATTCTATTGAGCTTCTTTTCATTACTAAGCACGTTTCACAAGAGACCACTAGTTTTTAAATGAAATTTATATAAGCTCTCTATTGTTATACGATTCTTCTTTTAAACTATGTTAATTTTAAGAAACTTCTAATCAGGAGTTTTATTCATCTAGTTGTTAGTTCATGTTCTGACTAAAAAAGAAAAATATAATATTTTAGTGATTAGAAATAAAATGAAGATAAAAACTTTATTCCCTCTCACTTTCTCATACAAAAAAAATTGATATAGATGCTTTGCCTTGTTTCATGATCAGGTAGAATAGAGTCACTCTAAATATCTATTGTTTTGAAAAAGTGTCAAAATCTAGACATAAATTTCAATACTAACTACGTAGCCATTAAACTACTTAAACTTCATAAGTTTTATTCACACTATTGCTTCTTTCAAAATGACATATGGGTTTATTATTTGTCATTTAGGATATGAATGTTTCTGTATGTTCATAATCGAATATGTTTCATGATACTATTTTAGGCCAGTTCTTCTTATCATATTACTTTCAATTTCTACAAAACAAAAGCTTCTTTTTATTAAACTAATATTAAATAAATGCTAAAATTGTTTTTTTTTTATATAATGAATAGCTAAAAACATATAGATCTTACCGACTATTATATTCATTTCACATCATTCTATTTTAAATAATAAAATATGGGTGACATGAGTAATATTACTCCGCCACGGTAAGAACAACATAAATTCGTTTTGATTAATTTTTTCTCAAATAATTTAATTTTTTTTAAACTGTAGATTAGAACGGTAATATAATTTTCATTTTAAAGAAATTTATTTTAAACTTTCACTAGACACTTTGTATTCACTTATTTCATGATAGTTTGCATCAGAATTATAGGATCAAGTTAAATAACCAACGATAACTACTTATTCAATTGATTAGTTCTGGCTAATCTGAAGTAACAGACTCGATAGAGTTAAACACCTTCAGAACATCAATTAGTGTCGTATTGTTCTAAAGAAACAGATAATATCTTTTTTTTTTCATTTTTCAATAAAGAACATATTTATGAAAATAATAATTGTTCAATCAATGATAAAATGAGCATGGTTTCAAATGACTATTCGAAAAATAATTCAGAATATAAAATAGATGCTTTATTTTCTAAATTGATGATTTGTTGTTGATTGATATTTCTACAGTAACTAATTATAAATAAAATAAATAACTAAAAAGAGAAACTTTCAGCTTATAAAAACAACGAAGTTTACAGAGAGCACTGTAGTACTATTTAAAAAGAAATTTGTTCAGTAATTGTCGCCTCCTTTCTTCGAGACGTCACGATCTTCTGAAAATTAGCAACAATGGAGAAGAAATTCTAAATTTATTTGTTACCGAGTTTTCATAAAACATTACTGGATTTTGTGTTTGTCAAAAATTTAGTTCGAGCTTTTGATTTATTAATAATTCTATTCATCGTATGAATTTCTATATCAATTTTTTTTTCAAACTTTCTTCTTTAAATAAAACTTTAAAATAAAACTGTGGAATATCGGATTAAAAATAGTAGATCAAAAATTAACAGTGAATTAGAAGAGAACCGTGATAAAAATAATATACATTTTAAAAATATATAAATATTAGCTTTTTGTCGTAGGAAAATTTCTGCAGTTGGAATGGAGAAGATGAATTCAATTTGATACTTCGATATAATCAAATAGGTTTCGATCAGCAGACAAGAAGACATTGACATATTGATAGGTTGATTTTTGAAGAAAATAATTCATTATTGATCGACCATTTTAAAAAAATTCAAATTTCTAATAACATATGAATGCATTTTTATGTAATTGTTTGATTTTTGTTGTTGTTGTTTTCATCTATTTGATAATAAAGTTTCGAATTGAATTCGTTATAAATATTAATTATGTCTTGTTTATATTCAACTTCCATTAATTTATTATGTCGATTTAAATATTGCAAACATATAATTATGGAATGAATAATATAAAGAAAATATCGTTGAGAAAAGAAAATTAAAGATATTATTGCGAGAAATATTTCTCTGAAATTCTCAGCATGAAAGTGTAATGTTTGTCTTTTCTAATTTTTTAAAATAATTATTCAATTTGATGAGATATGTCAATTAAAAGATGGCAGAAATCAAACACGTCAATCGGTGTTTTTTTACTTCTTGTTTTATATGTTTGTTTATTCTACTGAAAATGTGAGTAATAATAAACATTATTATCAAAAACACTTATACTATATGAAAATCTATCGATCGTAAGCATGAGAAATGTTTTTCCTGATTGTGAAATGCATCTTATTATGTATTACCATCTTTAGATTGAAATCAATTAATTCCAATATAGTGAAACTTAAATTATAAAATTTGTTTTTACATTATAATTATGTACGCACTGGTTCCAGTTCGACTGAGCACTAGTTCGCTCAAGTATCAGTACGACTAGGACTGACACATATCTATCTTACAAATTCTAAGATCATTACTTTTGCTTCGGCTTGTTTCGACACTATAAGAGTCATGTTATACTTATCTTTGTAATCATAATCTTAGCTGAAAATCATGGTCAAGAAAAAGCATTACCCTTTTAAGAGCTTTTTAAACATTTGAAGTCTGCTATTTTTTTTACTGATAGCTTTTGAATCTGTGACCAGTTCTTATGAATCCTTATGCAGCTTGAAATAAAAATTCAATATTGTTTATCAATTGAAAAGTACTATTATAAAATTCATACAATCCAACATAGAAACTGTTCAATGTAGTTAGTGTTAAGAACAAAACAAAGAAATGAATGTTTATATCCTAACCATTTCAACTTTTTAACATAGAATTTATCGTACTTATAAAATATCATTTGTCATGACTGTTGTATAGGGAAGTGTTAACGATGATTAACAAGTTTGTTGATACTCCTCCAATGCCAGAAAATATATCAAAATTAAACAACGACATCGAATTAAAGTATCAGAGTATCGATCACAACGAATTCCACAAGAAAAAAAACTTTTGTGAAATATACAGTTTCTATATGATGATTATTGTCTTGAAAAAAAAGCGTTTTTATTCGCTATCAAACATATTTGTAAAAGCTTCAAGTCAACTTTCATTATAGATATGAAATACATGTAATGTATATACATATGTGTATATGAAACACCGACAAAAGGCGACAGCCAATGCAATCCTCGAAGTTTCATTTTCACACCAATAAATCATGCATTTTGCACATGAAAAAACTCTACAACGATTGTTTGTTAATGGTATAATCGAAAAACGATATATCTGTAACTGGAATTAAAAAATAAATCAACAAGCAAAAGCCATGAAGCATATCTGATGTTATAATAATAAACAATGCTACAACATTAAAATAATTTCATAAAAAAAAAAACATACATATAGAATTATACATCAATAAAAACAATAGACTAATATTAAAAAAATAGACATACACACATAATTTATTTTTTTCTTTTTCTATTTGTTAATCTTTTTCTTCGTTTTCGTACTGCTGAATAACGTTTAGCA